AGCCCAGCAGGTCGAGGCTGCGGTGGCCAGGAGCAGCCACTGCACTCCAGTTTGGGTGACTGAATGAGACTCCAACTCAAAAAAAAAAAAAAAAAGCACAATCCCATTCACAATAGTTACACAAAAAAATGAAATACATCAGCATCATCCAAACTAGAGAAGTGAAAAACCTTTACAATGAGAACTACAAAACACTGCTCAAAGAAATCCAAGAAGACACAAACAAATGGAAAAATATTCCATGTTCATGGATAGGAAGAATCAACATTGTTAAAATGTCCATCCTATCAAGGGCAATCTACAGATTCAATACAATAGCCATTACATTACCAATATAATTCTTCTCAGACCTGGAAATGGCAATACAGAAATTTATATGGAAACATAAGCAACCACGACTAGTCAAAACAATCCTTAGCAAAAGAAACAAAGCAGGAGGTATCACAATTTCCAGACTTCAAACTTTAATATAAGGCTATAACAATCAAAACAGCCTGGTATTGGTACAAGAACAAACATTTAGACCAATGGAACAGGATAGAGAATATGGAAGCAATGCCTCAATTTCTTAACCAACTCATCTTTAACAAAGCCTCCAACAACAACAACTGGGGAGAGGAGAACCTGTTCAGTAAATAGTGCTGGGGAAACTGATCACATGCAGTTGTTGAAACAGGACCCCTACTTATCACCATACACAAAAATTAACTCTAAATGGATCAAAGACCTAAACATAAAACCTCAAATTATAAGAATCTTCAAAAACGCAGGAGACAACCTTATGAAAATTGGAACTGGTAACCAATTCCTGATCAAAACTCTAAATTCTCACACCATAAGAAGTAAGATAGACAAGTGAACCTCATCAAACTGACAAGCTTCCTCAGAGCAAAAGAAACCATCAAGAGAGCAAGGAGACAGCCCAGAATGGGGAAAAATATTTGCCAGCTGTATATCTGACAAAGACCTAATATCTAGGATCTACAAGGAACTCAAACATGCCAAAAGGAAGAAAACAAACAGCCCCATTAAACAGTGGGCAAAAGACATGAATAGACACTTCTCAAAAGAAGATATACAGGTAGCCAACAGACACATGAAAAAGTGATCAGTCTCATGACTCATCAGAGAAATGCAAATCAAAAACACATTGAGATACCACCTAACCCCAGTAAGAATGGTCATCATTAATAAAACAAACAACGACAGATGCTGGCGAGGATGTGGAGAAAAATGAACGCTTCTATACTGCTGGTGGGAATACAAACTAGTGCAACCTCTTTGGAAGACAGTGCGGTGATGTCTGAAAGATCTAGAAATTGGCCAGGCTCGGTGGTTCAGCCTGTAATCCCGAGCTTTGGGAGGCTGAGGTGAATGTATTGCCTGAGCCCGCGGGTTTGAGACCCACCTGGGCAACTTGGAGAGACCTCATCTCTACAATAAATCAAAAATTAGCCAGGTGTGGTAGTACCCGCCTGTAGTTCCAGCTACTTGGAAGGCTGAGGCGGAAGGATAACTGGAGCTTAGCAGGTCGAGGCTGCGGTGACCGGGAGTGGCCGCTGCACTCCAGTCTGGGTGACAGTGAGACTCCAACTCGGAAAAAAAAAAAGATCTAGAAATTGACCTTCCATATGACTCAGCAATTCTCCTATTGGGAATATACCTGGTGGAAATCAAAACATTCTGCAAAATATACCTGCACTCAAATATTTCAGCTCTATTCACAACAGCAAAAACATGGAACCAACCATGCTGCCCATCGAAGTTGGACTGGATTAAAAAAAAAAAAAAGTGGTATATATTCACAATGGAATATTACAAACATATGGACTTTGCAGCAACTTGGGATGGATTTAGAGTCAAGAAGAACAAACATATGGACTTTGCAGCAACGTGGATGGATTTAGAGTCAACCCTACTCAGTGATCTATCACAGAAACAAAGAAGAGAATACCATATGTTCTCACTCATAAGCAGACCTTGAACAATTATCATAATACTATAAGAAAGGGATTGGCAGTAGTGGGAAACTGTTGGGGGGATGGGATTGGCAGTTGAGGGAAACTGCCTGGGGAGGGAGGGGCACACCTTATCAACATGGTATCTGCATAATGAACATTTGTATCCTAACCCTGAATTGTACCACATCTTGAAAGAAAGAAAGCCAAAGATGTATAATTGCTGTTAAAATTAACAAATAAAGTATAAGAAATGTATGCATAAACTTAAAGAAAAATATAAACATGAAAATAAGAAATATAAGTAGAGAAATGAAAATTTATAAAGAATCAAATTATAATCCTATATCCAAAAATTCCTGAAATTTAAAAAAAAAAGAGTAAATCTTCTCAATAACAGAATGGATGCTATAAAATAAAAGACAA